TGCCTAAATGCTTAGATAGGCTTCAGCTGTTCAGCTGTGCTATCTTGTGACCTTGGAAAAAGTACTTGAACTCATTTCCCTCAGTGGTCAAGTGCAGATAATGGTCTGTTCCTTGTTTATCTGCTAAGACTACTACAGTGAGATGAAGTCCTCTCATGAATGCAGAGTTGCAGCAATGTGGATGTGGCTTCACAGATTAGAACATAGGCACTGGCAACAAAAAAACTTGTGGACAAATCCTGGCTATGGCACCTACAAGCTCTGTAACTTGAAGTGACTACCCCAGCATGTGTGAGTTGTGGTTTCCTCAAGAAAATAGGAATAATACTAGTACCTATCTCAGAGCAACAATGTGAAGAATAAATGAAATAATGCATGCACAATGCTTAGCACAATATGTACAATGCTTGGTATATAATTAAGTTTCAATCGAGGTTGTTTGTTTTATTGCTATGCTAAATACTGTCATGTACAAGGAATTATAGCAGTATACCATATAAAATCAGGATTGTTCCACATTTCAAGTACCATAAACCTAATTAAGCAGCTAATTGGCATGGGGCTATATTTTGTTTGATATTTAGGACCCAGTAGGAACCCAGAGCCAGAGATTTTTGGAAGTGCTTTGAAATGGGATCACTGTCAACAATAACCAGAAAACCTAAGGGTAACTCTGCACACCTACACAAAAGACTGCTTCAATAGACCCCAGAGAGGCCCACTTTGTATCAGATAATGCACTAGGAGTTGATTACCCAGATTCATATTCTACTCTCATGAGGCTCACAGTTTCTGGTGAGGACTGACCTGGAACAAGTAAGAGGAGATATTCGAATGTTACAAACTATGGAAGTGCTCTTTTGATGAGGATTGCTCTAGATATCATGGCTCACATGTAGAAACTGCACCATGTTCAGAGTCATGTTGGTCTTTTCCAAAGTCATGGCAGCGCCAGGTTGCCTTGCCAAAGGAGGAGCCACAGTAATGGAAACTGGTATTCCTAGATGAGTCCATGGAATTACGTCCAGCAGACTTCCCAGATGGACTGCAACCTTAATTGTAATTCCCTGTTAGAGAGTGAATCAGTCTGATTATATACCAGGTCAGAAACAAATGCTTGATATTTTAGGTGAATCTGAGGTGTGACAGAATGACACATGTATCATACACTGTCAATTTATTCATGTCTTGGAACTGATGTGCACAATGAGATGTTCTTAAATTAATCTCAAATTTTAGATGCTATCTGCCAGAATCTATCTGACAGTGCCTTTAGTGCCACTGTACCAATGGAGGAATTCAAGTTCTTTGAAATGAAGATTAGTACCTGGAGACTACAAAATTAAACTCCTTTAAAAGTAATTCAAGTAAAAAGTCTCAGTTTCGAAAATCTGAGAATCAGCATTTCTATAAAAATAAGTCTCTTAAAAAGGATTCCTGGTTTCATCTCCATGGATTTGGTCATAGAATCTCAGTTTTGAACCTGTCCTGTCTGAAAAGATGGACCAAAAATCCTCACAGGAGGCTCCTTTCAGTGAGGTCTTGTGACTGGGAAAGATTGAAAAGGTGCAGGACAGGTAGCTGTCAGAATGGGAGAAGCTGACAGAGGGGTAAGTTGTGTCTGTAGATTCCAAAATATTAGATTGAACTGAAAATTGTCAGGGGCCTTAGGCAGGCCTACTGATCACAAAGGGGCTTCCCCAGCCAAAGCCAGGATATCAGCTGGCCCACAGGAGCCTCCCACCTTGGCTAAAATGTCCCAAGCAGTAGAATAAGAGGGAAAAAACTTGACTTTCTCACCTCCACCCTCCTGCCAGAAAGAAAATAGGTGAGCTGCCAACATGACAGCAGCAGTGGACTCAGACTCCAGATAGCCTGTTTGCTTCCTCTTGCTACTGCCCTCCTTGCAATTTGCTTTCCTTTCCCTCCTTCCAGCTTTTAGTGGCTTGGATGTAGCATGCCTGTTCACATATCTGAGAGTTCACTAGAGAGCCTAGTTCTAAAGGCTTCTGGTACCATCAGAGCCAGGGACGGGTCGGAGGAGGAGGAGGAAGGGAGAAAGCACACCTGGGATCATAGACGACAAAGCTGCTCCCCTGCTCACTAGCTGATGCTCAGACAGCGAAGGGTGTGCTGGACTGCACTGACTGGTCTCAATGACAGCCTGGCCCCTTCAGTGTTGCCTCATTCCTGTTGGAAGAGGGAGCTCCTTCCACCCAGACCAGCCTTCCTGCTTGGTTTTGATCTCAGGAAGGGAAAGCCCCTGCCCCTCTTTTGAAGCAGCAGCCGGCACCACTCGTCTCTTTTCTCCTTCCCGCAGGCACTTCTGTTCAGAGTGCTGCCTCTTGCTGGCTCCTTCTGCTCCTGCTCGGTCCTCCCGCTGATTAGGAAGAAACTGTACCAGTGGGGTGATGGGGGTCTAGAATTCTTAAAGGAGCAGCTTCATTTCTGTGGAAAATTTGTTTATCTGGCATATTAGTTTTCTGCCTTTTCCCAATCAATATAATCTCACGAGAAAAGTAAACCAGATATAAAGTGACCATAATCACCATTTAAATGTTCATTGTAGAGGTTCTAGTTTTCCTCTAAGGATTTCCAAGCAGATCGAACACTAACCCTAGCAACAATCATTATTAGCAATCCAATCCAATTCGCGGATCATTTACTGAGGACATAGAGGTTGGGAGCAATGGATCTAAGTGAGGCAGTCCCTGTTGCCTTAAGGGCTCACAGTTTAGGGCCCAAGACTGGAAGTTCATGAATAATCAAGGTACAGAGATAATTTGGAAATCCCTGGCAGTGTTTTTGCCAGTAAGTCTTTGTCATAGAATCATTGACCAAAGGAGTTCATAACTAGCCAAACTAAGAAGCCAATTTGAAATGTAGTCTTCTCTTGGCTGCCCAGTGGTTAGTTTCCTGGCAATGAATTTGCATCTGTTGAGGACTTGGTCTGCTGCAAAATAAGCATCTGAGCAAAGACCCCCTCGGATGCTGGAGCACTAGGCTCTTAAAGCTTGTTTTTGTGTGTGTTAATGATGTGCTTTGTTTCCCCTACAATAAAAATTCTGTGGAAAAGATCAAACCTTGGGTCCTTTCTAGCTCAGATCCTGAAATCATTCCAGGCTGGAGCTGAAGCACCTAATACTGGGTCCAGCTCTGAAGTGGCTTTCCAATTCCTGGGTTCCAATCTAGATTCCCCTCTAGGGGAAATACCCAATCTTGAGTAAATTACCCACTTTAGGGGCTTCAGTTTCTTCTGGGAACAAAAATTAAAGACAATCTATTTGGATGATTTTGAGAATATGAGATAATATTAAAGAAGAGTATTCAGATAGCAGAATGTCAGAGTAGCTTGAGCCAGATGGCTGCTGGTTGTCTCTCCTTTTATGATGGAGGAACTCAGGCCCAAAGAAGTGACTTGCCAGGAGTAATACAGAGCCCTGACACTCTATTCTGTCAATAGTTACTGCTCTTTCTTAGAGAGTTCTAGTTTTGGGACTTCAACAATGTAACAATACTGCTCCATTTGTATAGGAACACAAAAGCAAATCAGAGACCTGGGACTCCAGAGAGTTCAGGGTCCTGAAATGTTAAAGATGGGTTTTGCCCTACCTGACAACCCATTCTCTGAATGGTGGCCAGGGAGCTTCTACCTCTAGGGCTTTGGCTAAGGACATCCATACCTTCCTGGGCCAGAAGTGGAGGCTGAAGGAAGGGATAGGCTGGGTTAAGCTCTCCACGTAAAGACAGATTCTCAGGCCAGAAGGGAGACAGGCAGTCGGTGGTCTATGGGATACTCAGCGCACACTCAGAGGGTTTCCACTTCCTAGAGAAGGAAAGCACAGAAGGCTTTCGCCCAACACACGGGTAGCTATGTGAGAAACATGGTCATGGAAGCCAGTTTCCCAGTGTCCAAAGCCCAAAGCCAAGGACTACACAAGGGCAGTCATTTGGGCCTACCTTTGCAGATTAGCAAATCCAGAGCCCACAATTTGCTAAACTACAAGGTACTCACCGCCCTTGAAGCCTGACAGAGTTTTGCAGTGTGCCAGGCAGGCCTGGGTGCACCACACGCAGGAAGGGTAAATGACTTTCTCTTTCGAGCACCAGCCTGCCTTGCAGTGTGGACACCAGGGGTGCTCTGGCCTTCAAAGTTTGCTCAGTAGCACCGGGGACTAAGGAGTGTCCTGGGCATGGACTGCGCATTGCGGGACAGCGAGACTTGGCTCCATTCGTGTGGCAATATGTACCCTCTTTTCTGGTTCCTAATAGTAATTTTCAAGGATGTGGGGTGGTGGGGGTTCAGACAGCAAGGTTCCACTCCCTAAACCAGTGTCTGGGCCTCTCCAGTCCCCCTCCTACATCACTGCAACTACCCCTGTGTCCTGGATCCCACTCCAGGTCCCGGGTCTTGCAGTAGCTCCCAACAGCTGATTTTGACAGTGCGTGGTAGGGGGCTGAGAAGGAGGGTGTCCCAGGGGCACCGGCGGGCGGGCCGAGCCTCTGCCAGATCCGGGGATGATAACGTGCCTGCTCCATGTCGCGGCTTCGGGCTGTCCAGGCTCCGCCCCCTGTGAGTGTGTAAGTGTGTGATGCTGCCGCGGCCGCCGCCGCCGCCTGTGCAGC